TGTATGACAGGGTTATCTGTGTTTTTGAACATGCCTAGTAGCATCTCAACAGCCTAATGAAAACAGCTGAAAATCATCTCTCAAGGATCCATATTTTGGATGTCATAGTTTTATAAAAAAATATTTTAAAAAACCACTCTGGGTTCTAGTCCCGGTTAGGGCACCGGTTCTGTCCCAGTTGCTCCTCTTCCAGGCCAGCTCTCTGCTGTGTCCTGGGAAGGCAGTGGAGGATGGCCCAAGTGCTTGGGCCCTGCACCCACATGGGAGACTAGGAGGAAGCACCTGGCTCCTGGCGGCCATTTGGGGGGTGAACCAATGGAAGGAAGACCTTTCTCTGTCTCTCTCTCTCACTGTCTAACTCTGCCTGTCCAAAAAAACAAAAACAAAAACAACAACAACAAAAAAAAACAAAACACACACACACACACACACACACACACACAAACCAAAAACAATAGTGGAGCTAGTGCTGTGTTGTAGTGGGCTAAGCCTCTGCTTTTAGTGCCAGCATCCCATTTGGGCACTGGTTCTAGTCCGGGTTGCTCCTTTTCCAATCTAGCTCTCCACTGTGGTCTGGGAAAACAGTAGAAGATGGCCCAAGTCCTTGGGTCCCAGCATCTGTGTGGGAGATCTGGATGAAGCTCCTGGCTCCTAGCCCATCTCCGGCCATTGCAGCTATCTGAGGAGTGAACTAGCAGATGGAAGACTTTTTACTTTGTCTCTCCCTCTGTCTTTAACTCTACCCCTCAGGTAAATAAAGAAAATCTTAAAAAAAATTAAAAAAAAACACAATAGCTCATCGGAAAAGATTATTAGACATACAAGAAAATGAGTCTCCACGGCAAGAAACATTAAAATCAGACTCATGATGATACCACTGTCAGAAAGCTACTTTGTTGTTTTAGCAAAATGAGAACCAAATTTTACCTGAAAACAATAATCAGTGATTACATTCTTTAAAGATCTGTGTAAAATAAAATTCTAAATGTAAAGAAATAACCCAAAGAGCTCAGAAGAAAATGGGCGTAGCAGCCACTGAGATACAGCTACAGGCAGAATTCATGAAGGAGAAAAAAAAATAACCTTAGAACAAATATAAAGGTGTCCAGAATATGGCATGGAGTGAAAAATAAGGGAACTATAGACAAGAGATTAAGAAGGGGAAAAGGTGAAATGACAAACAGCTAGAGCCTTAACATGAGAAGAGAGAAATTAAATGGATCAGAGGCAATATTAAATGAGGACTTGAGAATTTCCCAGAGCTGATAAGTGATATAAATCCACAGATTAAATAAATGTGATGAATCCCAGGAAATATTATTTAAAAGAATTACACTCCTAGGTGTTTCACAGTTAAACTGCAGGCATTGCAGACAAACTTAAAATATAGATAACCAACAAGGAAAAAGTTAGCTTGTCTTCAAAAACAACAGATCAAGGATTGACTTTTTAACAAAAACAAGCCAAAATACAGCGTAATCATTCTTCAGAATGATAATAAATAATTGCCAGCTCGTGTTTTTATATGTATATATTTATAAAATATTCTGAATAAAGGTATTTTCAACAAAGAGAAAAATTTTTGTCACCAACAGACTTGTGCTAAATTTCTGAAAGATATACAGAAGGAAAGTGATTCTTGATGTATACTCATAAATTTTGGGAGGAATAAATAGAAAAATGAATGGTGCACATTGGTCAATGTAAATAAGCATTGACTATATAGAAAATAAGAATGTGTTGATGGTTAAAAGTATATGGGATTAAAATAAACATTAACAAATTCATGCAAATTATAAGGATGTAAGAAGAGAAAATGGTCAATGTTTCTGCATTATCTAGGAGAAGGGTAAAGATATTGATTTACATCTCTGGCTTTTACATAAAGACTGATTTCTGTAAGTTGATTAGTATTTTTAATCTCTGAAGAAATAAAACAATAGAAAGTCTTAATCTCCAAATTAGCCAAGGAAAATAAAACCATCTGAAATAATAAAAGAGGAACAAAGATCAAATTAGGCTAGATAAACCCCAAATAATATGGAAGTTTCAAGTCAAATATGTTAGAGATATCTTAGTGGTTTAAATATAAAGCAGAGACTGCCATTCTAAACAAAAGTAATATGACTATTTGATTATTTAACAAATAGACATGTATGACAATTAAAAAAATGAAGGAAGGCATATTGATACTGGATTTTTTTTTTGATAATGCAGAAAGCACTAGCAGAGTCAAAGGTGGTCATTTAATAATATAGGCTCCTTTGACCAACATAATGAGTAGCCTTAATGTAATGTAGATGTAGAATACAAGGGGAAATAAAGTTTACAACCACAAGGGGACATTTCACCTTAAAATCACTCTTAGTGTAATTGACAATCAGACAAAAGAATCTGTAAGGACTGATAACATTTTTTTTTCATGATGAATAATACTAATTTTTGGACATATCTACAACTATACATCCAACAATTATATAATTTTCATTGTTTCAAAAGTACAGCAGTCTCCCTTTGTCCCTGAGAAGGAGTGGGAAGAGAGAGGGTGAAAGAGGAGAGGGAGAGAGAGGTGGCAGGGACCCAAGTATTATTTGTCTTTACCCACTGCCTCACAGGGTGTATGTTGGCAGGAAGCTGAAATGTTTGACAGTAGAGCGGGGTCCTGAACCCCAGCACTCTATTACGGGATGTAGGAGGTGAAAAGGGCATCTTAACTTCTAGGCCAAATGCCTGGCCTTGCTGTTTTCCTTTTCCCCAATTACACATGTAATGGTATGCTTGATGGTATCTTAGTGGTCTTTTTGGACTCTGTGCATTTTTCAAAAGTGTGCTTCTCCGGTCCTGTGTTATGGTACAGTGGATTAAATGGCCACCATTTGAGCTCTGGTTCTAGTCCCAGCTGCTCCACATCCAATCCAGCTCCTTGCTAATATTTGTGAAGGCAGTAGAAGATAGCTCAAGCCCTTGGGCCCCTGCCACCCATGTGGAAGATCTGGATGGAGTTCTTGGATCCTGGGTTCAGGCTGGAGCAGCCCTGACCATTTGTAACCATTTGAGGAGTGAACAAGCCAATTAAAGATTTTCTCTCTCTCTCTCTCTCTCTCCTCTCCCTCCCCCTCTTCCTCCCTCCCTCTCTCTCTTTCCTTGTCTTTCTGTCTGTAACTCTGCCTTTCAAATACACAAAAAAATCTTAAGGCAATAAAAGTGCTCCTCAGAGAACTAGTTATGAGGAGTAAGTCCTAGTGCACTACAACATAGGAGGGTGACTATAACTTAACAACATATATTTTATCAAGAACTGGAAGAAAGGAATTCAAAGACTGTAAATAATGTTAAATGCTTAAGGAGATACAAATGTTTATTATACTGATTGATCACTTCATTGAAGCCCTGTATCACACCATACCTCATAAAGATACGTAACTATTTGTTAATCAAAATAAATTTTAAAAAGCCTAGTTAATTTGTTTTGAAATTTGCTGGGTTTTCTTCTATCTTCTCAAATCTGTTAAATATCTCTAGTAATTTATCATTATTATTATTATTATAGTTTTCAGCAGCATGGTTTCCTTTGTATAATTTTTATGCTTTTATCAGTGTTCTCTATATATGTAAGGCATTAACATTATGGTATTCCATGTTCTTTGGGCATATTTAAAAGAGTTTACTAATAGTATTTGTTTACTAAGTCTGGTGTTGGATTTATCTTAAGGACGGTTTTACACTCTCTCCACCTCTCCCTGGAGAATGAGCCATACTCGTTTCTCTTCATGCACCAGATTTTCTTTTTGTTGAAAACTGGACACTTTTAAATGTTATGATGAGGTCATACTGGAAATAGAATCCTGCTCCCACCATGTACTCTGGGGTTTGTGGTTGCTGATGTTGCTTGTGAGTTACAGTTTTATTTCTTTAGTGACTTTGGAATGATTACTTTGTTTTGTGATCATCTAATGATGTGACACAGTTTTGTAATGATTGCTTCCTAGTTTTTTGGTTTTCTGTTTTGTTTTCTTTTTCTTTCTCTCTTTCTCTCTCTCTATTTATTTATTTGGTGTACCTGCTGCTTGTCCCTTTTCACAGTGTAATTGCAATTAGTGTATTTGCCTTTAAATGTTTTTACAAACACCACCTGGAAGTCCACCCCAGCACTGGGGAAGTTCCAGTGTGGAGGAAACGGGGAAACCCTTTAGCAATCTTTAAGGAGTCAATGGACTCCTTATAATTCTTTGAGAACAAATTTTATATTACCTTCATGAGCATGGGCCACCATCCTTTATGGATGCTGCTGAGCTGACCATGGGAGGTGGGAGTGTAGGTGGGTGAGTTCACCAGCTTTTCTCCTGAAGCACTGCCCTGTTTAGTTTTGTTTGTCCCTGGGGAAATATAGATGAAAGAGCTGCTTATTTTTTATCCTGTCAGTTTGCCAGATGTGTACAAGCAGGGTTTCAGAGAGCAGGAGTGGCAGTGTGAAATGGGATTCACACTACACATGGGCACAAGAGCACTGCCCCTGCATTGAGTCAAGTTATGAAGCCCAGCTCAGATTGAGAAGTGAAGCAGACTTAGCTCTCAGTGAGATGCAGTGCAAAGTTGTATTGCAAAGGGTATGGACACAGGCAGCAGTGAAAAAAGTTGCCATTTTTTTGTTTTCAACACCTAAATAATTTGTAAAGAAAATTTGTAAAGTTTAATCAATGTTAGAAATGCAAATGAAACAGATGGTTAAGATGCTAGGTGTTTTGTTCTCTGTTCATACATTGGAAGCTGCAGATCTGTAAGATATATTATGATTTGTAACCAATATTGTTATTACTATAGTCTGTTGCTATAAAATAATATGTTGATATTAACCAATTGTAAAAAAGCAAACACTGGCATGCCTTTTAAATGCTGTGGTAACGCCTTTTTTTTTTTTTGGTAACACCTTTAATGAAAGGTTTAAAGTACACAAATTATGCTTGATTTCCAGTTCTACATGCTGTCTTTCTGTTTTCTAGCCAGAACCACCTGTTCCAGATATATTTCTTCTTTATGTAGAAATGCACATTGTGGTGGGCAAAGCTCTGGTATGTATTTTTGCTTTTAAATATTTGGTGAAAACGTATGCTTCTCCATAGCTTAATAGCAGTTAAATGATTCTGAACTTTTTACTTGCCGGCTATACACGGAATAGTGTAAAACTGTGCTAGCTGAAAAAACAGATTCAAAATTGTACTAGTGCTATAACAGATGTTTTATTTTAAATCTTTTCATAGCAATTGTATAGAGCTAAATGATTTTTGCTGACCCTACAAATTTTTAGGGGTTCTTTTTATCAGATCCATACTATTTTTTAATGGCGATATGTTATCAGAGTGAAATTTTTTAAACTTTAAAAACTATTATAAGAATGCCTTTAAGAACAAGTAGTTTACGTTCTAGCGAATATTTTGCTGTATAATATATTTATTAGGACAAAAGTGATCATAGTATAACTATGTATAAGAACTGCTTACAATCATGTGTCAGGATTTTCTTTAGCTGTTTTATTGTGTGTTACACTTGTTTCCGTTGATTGTTTAGCTGATCCTGAAACCTCTAGATTGGTGATTCCCATAAACAATTTTTTAAAGATTGTATTTACTTATTTGACAGGTAGAGTTACAGACAGTGAGAGGGAGAGAGAGTGAGAAAGGTCTTTCATCCGCTGGTTTACTCCCCAAATGGCCACAAGGGCAGGTACTGGGCCAATCCAAAGCCAAAGCCAGGAACCTCCTCTGGGTCTCCCATGCGGGTACAGGGGCCCGCACACCTGGGCCATCTTCTACTGCTTTCCCAGGCAATAAGCAGAGAGCTGGATTGGAAGAGGAGCAGCCAGGACTAGACCAGTGCCCATATGGGATGCTGGTGCAGTAGGCAGAGAATTAACCTACTGTGCCACAGCTCAGCCCCTCCCCTAAACACTTCGAGGGCCTCTGACCCATTCAGGATCTTTGGGGTGATAAGTTAGCTTGTAGTCAACCAGATACAGCTTTATTGCTCCTACTATTTAAAAAGTTTAAGATATTAGGAATAAAAATATTTTCAAGGGTTTATTTTGATGATAAGCATTTGATTGTAATGCCTCTGGAAGATCACAGACAATACTTTTTTTCATTCTAACAGTTTAGAGCATTTTAGGAATCCAGAGTCTGAGACAGGAGGAATTTGTAGATTCTAAAACACTTGATTTATTACAGTAAAAGTAAAGGTAAAAGAACAAAGAGACCATTGAAAAGAAAATGGAAATTCTGAGATATTTTGGAGATATTTGAGATGTTTCTAGTAAATATGACTAGGTTTGTGGGAATTATTTGGATTATGAAAGTTCTTTTACTTCAGGAATATGTTGTAAAACTTTGAGAGTTGTATTAGAAGCTTCTTGTCTAAGTTTCTCATTTGCAAGCTGTGTAATGCTGCTTAAGCCTTCTTTCTATCTATTCTTATTATTTACAGAGTATTTAATAAAGTAAATGTTGATCCAGCTATGAAATCTTTGTTATTAGATATTGGCATTTAAAGAAGAATACTGATACTTTCTTCAGTGACTTAATAAAAGTAAATCCACAATTTTAGCCTAGTAAATCCAGTGCCACAATGAGGAAACATATGATACTATAAAAATAGAACATAGCAATGGAAATATGAATAGAAATCCACAGCTGTTACTTGAGCTACTATATGAGCATACAAGTGGATTTTTTTTTTTTTTTGGTCAGGCAGAGTGGTCAGTGAGAGAGACAGAGAGAAAGGCCTTCCTTTTCTGTTGGTTCACTCCCCAGAGCCGTTGCAACCGGTGCACTGCGGCTGGCGCACCGTGCTGATTCGAAGCCCAGAGCCAGGTGCTTCTCCTGGTCTCCCATGTGGGTGCAGGGCCCAAGCACTTAGGCCATTCTTCACTGCCTTCCCGGGCCACAGCAGAGAGCTGGACTGGAAGAGGGGCAAGCGGGACAGAATCTGGCGTCCCGACTGGGACTAGAACCCTGTGTGCCGGCGCTGCACAAGTGGATTTTTCAAAATGTGGGTTGTCTTATTATTGAAGTATATAGTAAGGCCATCAGAGCAGTAAATTATTCTGTTGAGAAGAGTGTGGAACTCACAGTTCTCAAAAGGAGGGAGCAGCCTATATTATGTAGGAGGCCTCGTGGAGAAGCAACAGGGGTGGTTGATTAGGAGACAGAGCAAAGGGAAAATGTGGTCCAGAGCCTTCGTTGTGATTTCCTTTGGAAGGAACAGGCAGTACAGGGTAGCCAGGCTTAGGAGGATTGGCTAGTCTGAGTATCAGGTATGTTCCCTGCTTTATGGTACCTGGCACTGGTATGATCAGTGCAGAGCCATAGTGGCCCTGAGTGTGAGAACCTGATAGAGGAGATTTAGGTGCAGGCTTTGGTTTGTTTGGCTTGCATATGAAAGTTGCACTTGAAGGTAAGTCATTATTATCTTTTAGAATTAGCTTTCCCTGAAAAGGGTGTTCAGTGAGTCCCTAAAATGTCAAAGCATAGAAAATACAGAAACTGAAAAGGGATTGTTAATGTCATGGGTCACATAATGAATACAAGCAATGGGTAATGGGTGGAGGGTAAAGCCAAGGATGACTGTGCAAAATTTCCTTCGTGTGAGCTAAGTTTCTTTTCAGGAAACTGGAAGAGTGTTTAATTACAGAGTTAACAGAGACAGACAGAAATAGATGAATTAAAGAATTCATATGACCTTTGTACTTTATCAAAAAGGCAATAGAGAGTCACTAAAATTTTTAAGTAGGGTGTGACATATTTATATTTTCATTTTAGAATCATTTTTATAACAGTGTGGGGCTGGATTGTTAGTGGAAAATGGAAGAAGTAGCCATATAAGAGATTATGCCAGTAATCAAGATGAAAATGTCAAATAAATTAGTATTTTTAGGATTGGAAATAAATTAACAATTTTAAAAGTTACTGATTCCTTTACATTAGAAATACTTGTTAATTTATTTGATTCTTTTAGGTTTTTTTCCATTTCTTAAAAAAAATATTGAAAAGCATGTAGATACCACTTGATGTTCTAGTAATTAAGAATATGGTGGCTGGCGCTGCAGCTCAATAGGCTAATCCTTCACCTGCGGCGCCAGCACACCAGGTTCTAGTCCCAGTCGGGGCGCTGGATTCTGTCCTGGTTGCCCCTCTTCCAGTCCAGCTCTCTGCTGTGGCCCGGGAGTGCAGTGGAGGATGGCCCAAGTGCTTGGGCCTTGCACCCTCATGGGAGACCAGGAGAAGCACCTGGCTCCTGGCTGCGGATCAGCGTGGTGCACTGGCTGCAGCGGCCATTGGAGGGTGAACCAACGGTAAAGGAAGACCTTTTTCTCTGTCTCTCTCTCTCACTATCCACTCTATCAAAAAAAGAAAAAAGAAAGAAAGAAAAAAAGAAAAAGAATATGGCATTGAACAAAGCAGAAAAAGAAATCTGCTTTCATAGGTCACATAATGAAATAATTGTGGGATGTAAGATAAGATAATACTATTCATTAAAGTAGTGAAGATGTAAGTAGGTTTTCTTTATTTTAGGGAGAATGCTGAGTTTAGTTTTGAGTGTGAGTTTGGTTTTTGATTAATTTAAGGATATTATGGAATGATTAAGGCACAGGGAATAGAGAGTAGATCTATAGATATGTTGATATTTTTGCAATACTGAGTTTATTTATACTTCACTAGTTACTTATGCATTAATTTATGCATGTATATGTGCATGTGCATGTGTGTATAGGGGCAGGGTTGTGCTTCAGTTTCACAAAAGTAGACTTGTGTAACCACCACCAGAACCACAATCAGAATACTCAATAGTGCCATCACCACAGGTTTCTCTTATATATCCCTATAAGCTACACCCACAGTGTCCCCTACCAGCCTTCTTAACCTTGGTGACTACTGAACTTTTCTCCTTATAATTTCACAAATATTTCATAAATAGTCACAAATATGTGTGCAGTATGTATCATTTTAAGATTTGTTTTATACTTAAAACGATTTTCTTGAGTTTTCCTCCAAGTTGTTCTCTATATCAACAACTCAATTCTGTTTTGTTGCTCAATAATAGCCCATGGTATGAATGCACTAATTTATTTAACCCTTCAACCATTCAAGGACATAGGAGTTTTTTCCAGTTTGGGCGTATTGTGAATACAGCAATTATGGATGTTCATATACAGGTTTTGCTTTGAGTACAAGTTTTGATATCCTTACTAAACTAACGTCTTTTTGTTTTTGCTTGTTAAACTTCTTATTTAGTGAAGTATTAACCCTTTTTACTGCAATGTAAATTTAAAATATGGTATCTCAAAATCTATAAAAGGAAAAAACAGAAAAGGAGGGTGGGAGAGAACAAGGGGAAGATCCTTATATTCTTAGATTTGTATCTAAAATCATATTGAATCTGTTAAAAATTAATTAAAATGAAAATTAAATGAAATTAAAATGTTTTGATTTGTTTGGGATAAATGGCCAGGAGAATCCTATATTTGTTTAGTTGGAAATTGCCTAGCTGTTTTTGAAAGTGGCCATACTAGTTTACACCCCTGCCAGCAATATATGAGTGATCCAGTTTAATTTTTTATTTTGAACTGTTGAAACTCCGAAAATAGCCTTAAAATTCTGAGAGTAGAAGGAGACTAAATTTCAAAAGCATCATGTAACAAATTGTATTCAAATATGAAATTGATTCTGTTTTTCAGTATGAATACCTGGGCTCTGATAGCATTATAGTAACAAATAAAATCATCAAAATTATTGGCCTTGTAAATTCAGTAAGTATTTCCCTTTTTATATCTGATGACATTTTTAATTTTTGAAATTTTATGGCATTAACTTGACTAGTATTTCTGAATAATTAAATCATTTATATATGCAATGGGTATGGATTTATGGAAATATCAAATTCGTATCCATGCCATCTAAGAATAGAAATTAATTTTGCATATATTTGTCTCTTCTGTTTTTAGATGTTTACCCAATTTAAAGTTACTGTTGTGCTGTTGTCATTGGAGTTGTGGTCAGATAAAAATAAGGTTTCTACAGTTGGTGAGGCAGATGAATTATTGCAAATATTTGCAACATGGAAGCAGTCTTATCCTAACTTACGGCCTCATGATGTTGCGTATCTCTTCATGTAAGCATAATGTTTCAGTACTCCTAGAATGGGAAAAATAATCTGTAATAATGAAATAATGATGTAGCTTAATATAGAGAACTATTGTCTATTTATGAATATTTATAGTTTTTTTAGTATTCATTATGTGCTTTATGCAGGTCTCATGCTGATTTTCTAGTTGTCAGATAATATACAAAAGATTACATTTATTTCTTTTTTTATCAACTTGTACAAGGAGATTGAGATTTCTAGAGTTTAATCTGTCTCAGGATTCTTGGACCTATTGATGTATCTATGATTTGAATTCAGTTTGTTAAGTCCAGAGCCCATACTCTTTAACGATTTCAAAAGATGGAATTTATTTTACGGATTTTATATTTTGTTAGGAATTTTAATTAAAAAGCTTGGTAACATAAGTTAAAACATTTTGTTTTATATTTCACTCAGCATAATGTTTTCCAAATTCCTAACAGGGATCACTTTTCAGTTAAAATTTAAACACCTAAGAATAATTGTGTGTTAATCACAGAGTTCAACCAATAGTACTAGAACAACAACAAAAAATACTAAAATGGATAAAGTATTACATTGTACATCAACAGTCAACACAAGGGCTGATCAATTCACTGTTTCTCATAGTGTCCATTTCACTTCAGGAGGTTTCCTTTTTGGTCTTCAGTCAGTTGTCACCAATCAGGGAGGACATATGGTATTTGTCCCTTTGGGACTGGCTTAATTCACTCAGCATAATGTTTTCCAGATTCCTCCATCTTGTTGCAAATGACCAGATTTCATTGTTTTTGGCTGCTGTATAGTATTCTGTAGAGTACATGTCCCAGAATTTCTTTATCCAGTCTACTCTTGATGGGCATTTGGGTTGCTTCTAGGTCTTAGCTATTGTGAATTGAGCTGCAATAAACATTAAGGTGCAGACAGCTTGTTTGCTTGCCAATTTCATTTCCTTTGGGTAAATTCCAAGGAGTGGGATGGCTGGGTTGAATGGTAGGGTTATAGTCAGGTTTCTGAGGAATCTCCAGACTTACTTCCATAGTGGCTTAACCAGTTTGCATTCCCACCAACAGTGGGTTAGTGTCCCTTTTCTCCCACATCCTCTCCAGCATCTATCGTTGATAGATTTCTGAATGTGAGCCATTCTAACTGGGGTGAGGTGAAACCTCATTGTGGTTTTGATTTGCATTTCCCTGATTGCTGGTGATCTTGAACATTTTTTCATGTGCCTGTTGGCCATTTGGATTTCCTCTTTTGAAAAATGTCGAAAAAATCATATGTTCTCCCTGATCGGTGACAACTAACTTAGCACCAAAACCTGTTAAAGTGAAATGAACACTATGAGAAACAGTGCCTTGATCAGCCCTTACCCTAACTGTTTATGAACAACTTAATACGTTATCCCTCTTGGTATTTTTTTTGTTTGTACTACTTAATACTTTTGGTTGAATACTGTAATCAATACACAGTTATTCTTAAGTGTTGAAAATTAACTGAAAAGTGATCACTGTTAAATATAAGAGTGGGAATAAGAGAGGGAGGAGATGTACACTTTAGGATATGCTCAGTTGGACTTGCCCCAAATGG